TGGGGAATTTGAAAGAATATTTACCATAGCAGCTCTATTCTAGTCCGCGTTGCCTTGCCCAATATACAATACCTCGGTTCCGTTGCTTTTTAGGCGGAACACTGCCGTCACTGAAACAATAATCTGTAGTCTTTACTTAAACTAGTCATCATACGAGTTGAAATTTATGGAGTTTGGTTATGGCGTGGGTTTGAGGGGGACACCACCAAAGAAGGAGGAGCCGACCGTCTGGCCCATGCGGATAGAGTAGTAAAGAACTGCAGATTTACCAGTCCACAAAATGTTTTTATTAATTTAGGATGATACTGTTTAGGGATGAGGGGGCTCTAACTCACATTTTCCTACTTCGAAACTACGCTGATCACAATCCGCCTCATGGTACTGTCGTGGTCAGTGTCAATTGTATTTAAAGAAATTAAAAATAAAATTTCTGCACAATTTATTTGATAACTAATCATTTAAGTAAAAGTCTTTAAAGTTTCAATATTCAGTAATCGTGGCCAGAGGCAGGATCAGCTCACATGACACCCTCCATGAGTAAATTTATTAGAGGCACTCCTGATTTCCTTGCTTGTCAACTTCCAGACAGATCGGTAGATGTAACAAGTGGAAATGCAGTAGCAGTATTTGGGTCATTCGCGGTGTTTAAGAAATTTCGGCATTAATATAAAAGGAGAAAGTGGCAAAGAAATAATTTGGCTTTTCAAGACGAACAAAGTGCTGTTGATTGTACCAAATAATATCGAATATTAATCGATGCAGCTAATAAGGAACAGAAGACAAAGTCTACTGCAGGCTGTCACTAACATTGTCTCGAACTATCTGCGCAGTCACAAATATCGCCTAGAATTCTCTGATCATGGTAATGATAAGGTATTTGGAACAGTGGGACGGGTAGCAGTAAACTCAGGCGTGATGGTAAAGGATTCGTGAAATTTGTCAACGGTCTCGAGAATGATATTTTTACATGCTTCCGCGCTTGTTGGGCTTAGATGGATGCCGTCAAAGGGATGAACAAAAGTGCCGTTGATTCTGCTGTTTGAAGCCCAAAATGTCTTCTGGGGGGCTGAGGGTGTTCGTCGAGTCTGCAGACAAATATTAGTGCTCTGGAAGGTATAGGTTGGTAGGCAGCAAGTAGTGTTGGTCATCATGCTGCAGGCATCGCAAACAATACAAACTACTGAACTTTGACAAGCAAATCACCATCTTCTTGATCATCACTTAATTCACCTGAGCATGTCTGTTTGTCCGAGGAGCAGAGTAGGTGCCGTTACCCCCAAAACCCTCCTTTAATCAGCAGCAGCCTCACAACTATAGCCAAAGGGACGAAGGAAATTGCACTGGCTCCTCGCCTTACCACCTTCGGCGCAAAGGAAGCACTGTTGGTAGCAGAAGGTAGGTATCTCGATAAACAAAGACAGGGAGCAGCCCAGTTGTACTATGAATACTGCGAGTGGTAATAATGATTGACTTGTTCGCTTATCGTACGTATTTACATGTGTGCGACGCATTGCTAGTGCAGTAGCCATTCCATTCCTACATCGGGTAGGCACATGACTCTCTTCAGAATGCAGAGTCCTCCTCGTCGTTTGCCATCTGCACTCAGCATCGCATATGACCACGTCTAAAGGCTTCCCATTATTACCAGCTTGTACGATTGCGCAATGAAGGCCTGGTGAGTAATTAACTGATCGACTAAGTTTCTAGATGGTTGAGACTACCCCGCTGGCTAAATTTTTCCATTTAGGCGTATTGATAGTGGAGTGGTTATCCTTAGTTTAAGAGCATACCACTGCACTATGCGAGCTAATGAGGAGGGAAAAAAGAGAAGGACAAATCCTTAAAACGTTTGTGGCTGAGTGTTTGATTAATAATTACAGGAAAATTGCTGTAATTGTTCATTTTTTGAAATGTAAAACTAAAAAATCGAGATAGTACACATTTTCAGGGTTGCAGGCAACACTAAAGTGTAACATTTCCTTACCCAAGTTCTACCAAGCATAAAAGATCAACACAACCTCAAGGTTTTGCAAATTCTTGACAGCGCATGGAGGTAGTTGCAGACCTTTTTACCAGGTTTGCCAGTTTGATGGTATCTGAGTAATTTTAAAGACTAGTGATTGGCTAAAAAGTTATGCTATTTTATAAAAGAAATGCTCTGAGTCCCAGAAAGCATCCGATTTCTAGAAATATCTTGTTCATAGGCAGACGGGCAGACAAGATTATCCTAAATAAAAAGGCTTCCCTGCCTCTCCTTTTTTCTTTCTCCCTTCCTCTTTTCCTTTCTTTCCTTCATAACCAAGTTTTTTGAATATCTCATGGATTCTGGATATAATCCTTAGTTAATATAAGTTTGATTTAGCTTTGTCTGGTTATGGGCACTCATTCATACAGGCCTATATCAGATAGGCATTAGCACTATGAACAATGGGGACGAAGGCAAAAATGGTGATAGAGGGAAGGAAGAAGGAGAACATAGGAAAAAGGGGAAGAGATGGAAGTCGAAATTGTGGAAAATGTGAGGGAGAAAGCAAAGAGCAAAGATTTGCCATGGAAGGAGTAGGGTGACGTGCACGACCCATTGAAAAGTATGATGAGGCGTCTCTGAGGGAGGAGGGACATGTCACACTGCTTAAATATCCATGCACATACATCAGTTACGTCCCTGTGTCTCCGCCATTTCCTCTTTTACACTTTTTATTAGGTCAGTCACTTAATTTCATTTGATTTGTATATCTGACAAGCATGCAGCAGAAGCACAATTGCTTTAATTTACAGAGGCGCAAGTAGAAGTACTTGCAGAATCTGCGCTTTTCTGTCACTCGCTAGGCACATTTACCCACATATTTAAAGGGAAAGACGTCCAATCTCACCTTTTTCCAATCGACCTTGCTTCATCTCTTCCTTCACTTCCAGTGATTGCAGTAGGGAAGCCGTACCCTTGGTGGAGTGCATGAGTTACTGTGACATCTATTCTGCGGATGCGTTCTGCGTCCATGAAACGAGGAATGAGGAGTTAGCTGTGAGTATATTACAATGAAGAGTAAGGAACTAGGGGTGGGAATGGCAGTGAATCATTCACGTTATTGTCTGAGGGACATGACATGTTTTTTGAAAATGAGAAGATTATATTCACTTGTGAAAGTTTATGGCTAGCTAGAGGTATATAAGCAGAGGTGGTAGATAGGGAGAAGGAGAGATTGGAGAGAGAAAGCTGCATCAAGCATGAATGGAAGCGGGGTGAATGGGAGAGTCCAAGGAGATGTAGAGAGGAAAAGTGTAGCTATGGACGATTGGAAAGGTGAAGAGCGAGGGGGGATATGAGGACTAAATTTATTTAACCTAGAAGGAAGGGAACATACTGTCACCGAAGCACAATGTACTCACAGATGTCTCGTATGAGTAGCTGAGTGAACAAATGAATAAACGCTCGCACCAAATTAGTTTGCTTGTTTAAACGGAATGAAGACTGTGACGGAGGTGGTAAACGCCTATATTACTCGAATTACCAAACTCAGTGAAAAGATCGCATACGTGTTTACCACACCTTCAGTAATTTCCACAGGAGTATCACAGGCCTTTGTTCCACTGTGGATACAGGAAGAGATTTTGGTTACCAGTTCTATTGCATTAATCACGCCAACCCTTCTAAGCCACGCCGTAAAAGCTACTTTAATTTTTAATGGATAGTTACGTCGAGTTAAACTTCAACACTGCTTACATTCTAGGTAATGTCTATAACACATTTAAGCGGATTTGCTAACATCTATCCAGTCTACGAATCTGCCATCTATGCCTACCAACAACGAACGATAACAAAAACCGATTGTCAAAATGTGTAGACGCGTAATTTGCTCTCGGTGTGTAGGCCCTCCGATACACTTCAATTTTTAACGACAATGCTCAAGACAATTGGAATAAGTAGAAGTTATTTCGCCTTAAAAGCAGGAAAGTACAAGAGGCGAGCTTGCACACCATCAACCAACT